GAAACAGTTCTGTATCAAGTTACCCCCAAATGCTGTCAAACCCCCCTTACTGATATATATATATATATATATATATATATAGAAATGAGCACGACATTCCTCGCATGCTTGTCTTCAAGACTGCTATTTACAACGTTACCCTGCCTTATACGAATGAGCAGGATAGTACTTTGCCACACGTATGTTGTGAAGATCCAATCACATTAAAGAAATAATTGAAAGTAATTTGTATCTGAATTAGACAAAAAAATAGAGAAAGCAGTTGAGGGTGACAAAAGCCACAAATGGCTATTCCAGTTTCTTTTGCATTGCCGGCAATAATATCCGCTTATATTTAATGTCGAATTCTTTGAAAGAAGCCAATGACCATATCTGTCCAGCATGTATATTTTGTAACTTTAAAATCAGTCACATTATACATTTTTCAAAGTGGGAAATTGGTAGCAATCAGTTCCAGTAAGGCAGGTTAAATACCCAGATGGAGGTTGTTTGCGTCTAAAGGGAAAATTTAGGAAATAAGTTTCAGTGAAGCCCACGGTTCTCGCAGGAGAACAGTACAGAGATGTATTGCAGCGCACCCTGTCCACCGCATAAATAACAATTACGCATGTAGGGGAGCATCCTAGGAGGTATATTCATGAAGTACTGACATACATATATCCAAACTGGCCTACGCTTAGAACTATTTCTATTAAAGCAGTCTGTCAAGGGTCTCACCCATAACTCGTTTCTTATTAAAATATATTCCAAACAACAATAGGTAGGAGTGCTTTTTCCTTTCTTGGAGATGAATAAAATCCAATTAAATGATATTTTCTTCTAAAATTTTGCGCGCGTATTTAAGGCAGAAATAAAACATCCACGATAGTAAAAAAAAGTTACCTTCCCGGCGTTTGTGCTCCTGCGTTTGGTTTAGGCACCCTCGCGCGTCCTTGCACTTGCATGCCCGCCGGGTTCATACAAAAAGCCCCAGGCAGACTTTGAGCGCACTGTAAAGACATACATCGTTCCTGGTGAAAGATATTCAATGTCGATTGTGGTCTTCTCGGTTTGCTGTGCGTTGTTGTAATCTGAGTTTGTTATAACCGTGTAGAATTTGTCCAAACCCTCAGATTGCTTAGGTGCCTTCCAGGTTAGACGGATACAGGTTGAACTGCAGGCCTCAGCAACGACATCACTGGGGTTTTTTTCCACTATGCAAATCATGGAATAAAAAAATTGTAGATTTGAGTATCAATTTAAAACACCTCCCTGCATCCGCAGCATAACATACTTGTCCACGAATAACACATAATTATTCTAGAATATACTTTTCAACTTAAATAGATCATGCTATTTGTTTTCACTTAACTTAGGTAATGGACAGTGGGTTGAGGGTGTTTAGCAATCACTGAGCACTAGTCTAGTCTTATACGAATAATGATTACGGAATAAGGGGGAAACTGTTCGATTACTGGCTTGAATCTCAGCACTATCGTTGCTGTAATGCGACGCGGTATGTGAGAGACAACTTTGAGAACGATGCCGATTCAACCATGTCTAAGGTTATACAGGTTGCCGAATTTAGTTGTATAGGCGTATAGATGCTCGACGAGACAAGTGAACTAAGCAAATATTCTAAGTCATTCTCGTACAAACCGCCAGGCAGACTAGTCCCTGGGCTTTATCGCAGCCACCTTGTACGTTTGCCGAAGGACGCCAGTCGATATCTTCAGGTAAGTATATTCGCTGGAACGATCAGTCAACTTTTATGAGCTGTACAGGCGTCAGAGTAAACTCCAGTATAAAGCGGATTATTATTATTCCTAAAACAGATCGCACTGCCCCTTATTTCAATCATATTCCCGGTTGCAACCGCTAAAGCGACGAGCTAGTGGTGCAATGACGGAGTGTGCCACTCGATGACCAAATGTCTCGGGTTCCAATCCCGGGCGATTACCACTTAGGATTGAATACAACTGATTATTGACCGTTCATAAGCCAACAATGGTCATTCCAGCCCCTCTTGCCTTTGTCGGATCGGCTTTACCAAAACATACTGTATAGTAAAAATATTATAAGAAACTAAATAACAAGAAGACAATTAGGCAGGCATCAATAATACCTTTGTTCCATGTGCTAACAGTCAGCTGCAGAGGCGGCAGATATAGGGAGCCACTACTTTGTGTTGACCACAGCTGAAAACTGTGCAATGTACCATCAGCAAGGTTGATCATGTCATACGTCGTTTCGTCCGTTGTATAGCGTTGATTGGGTTGTAAATTGCATTCAATAGTGTACCGTGGACGCTGACGATCTGAACGTGTTGCTGGTTTCCAATTTAAGCGTATAGAGCTGGAGCTTAGGACCTTCGCGGTGAGTTCAGTAGGGAGTGTGTCATCTGAAAAAAATGTGAACGATAAAAAAAATATTGATGGTAATTAAATCAAAATAATTGCCTCACATGTAGGTCACGTCAACATTGGACCGTTGCTATATTGTTCCCTACACAACAATTTCCTCACTCAATCAAAATGAATTATTTAAGTGATAATGCCGAAATATTTTAAGCGACATGACGGCACAAGGTTTGCGAATGGGCTTAAAAATTGTGGACGGACGCTCCAATTGTTCTTATCTTGTAAAGGACTCAAGCTATCCGCAGAGGGTATCAGCCACAAGGGCGCCGCTTGCATATATCCGTGCGGCATTTGGTACAAGAGTCCTGAGGTCTTACATAAGATAACAGCCAGACGTCCGTCATAATTAATTGGCCCCAAGTCCTCCATTAACGCCCCATTTTCGGTGCTGATGTGGCCATTAGGCACCCAAACCTTACAGCTTACTATTTTCTATACATTTAAATTTTAACTGTTTGTTCAATGGTTATAAACAGCCACTCTTTGTTGCTGCTTCCCATCTCTGACCATGGACTCCGGTAGAAGTCCGAAAGCTAAGAATAAAATACAAATAGTTTCGGTGTTCTATCATCTGTCGTCTTGAACGGTGTACTTAATATCCATAATTGACAAAAAATTTGTTTTTTATGGTGGCATTCGACTGATAATGGGACGCGGTCAACGTAGAAGGAAACTGACTTAAATATAAAGTTCAGAGCGTTTTTTGTTTCGAAAACTATCACGCATCGTTTGTAGTAAACGCTGTCAACCAGCAAAATATTATAATTCAAGCGTCAAATTCAGCAATTTAAATGGAGCACCAGGCGGACAACCATCTTTCCTACAGAGGTGTTGATTTCAACGTCTGAATGCTTCCACAAACCATCAATTACTTATCTTAAGGCATGCAGCTTAAAACTCGAGGAGACAATATAAGCAATGCGTGCAACGGTGAAGAAGCTCAC